AACTCTTCAGTGAAGCATCATAATAAGTTGGGAACTTTACAGTTATAATCAGCAACTCTAGTTAGCCCAGTGTAAAAGTTTTGAGGCTGTTTTGTTCCCTTTCTGAGGCAAAATATGACCTTTCAACGCTTAAAACCCTCTTTAAAGTTCCTATCGTATTCCTACAGTAACGAAGAGAGATGAGTGATTCGTTCTATAATGCAATCTAAGTTGAAGCCAGCTCTACAGATTGGTACCTGAAGCAAGGGAAACGATTTCTTCAGAAGAGAGATTTTAGCGATCAAACGTTTGATACATTTTTTTGGGACACCCTGTATATGATACAAATAGAGCAAATCTCGGACTATATGCTAGTGCTTTTATATTCTTCTGCTCTGCTGTTCGGAGTTTTTACAAATTAATTTCTTCAAAGTTCCCGCTGCTCTCCGAAATAGACAATCAATAAAAAATTCTGAAACTTGACCTATCAAGAATGAATGTAATGTATTAGGTTGTCCGGAAATCAATGCAGGTTCTGATTTCCAACCGCAATAAGTCATACATTCCTCATTTTTAAATAGGTTGCAAGGTACTGTTCGATAGAGCAAAGCAAGCTCTACAAGATGGCTATCCTGCTTCACCAACAGCTCTGATCCACCACGAGTTTCGAGCCAAAAACTAAAAAGATTCAACTGCCCGAAAAATTGAGAAAAATCGTAACTCAGTTCGTAAAAATCCTACAAAAATTCTAACTTGCTCACGTAAACCCAATTTATATAAGGCCACCGTTGCCGTATTTTTTTCTCTTTTAGAAATCAAGAAAACGAATATTTCCGAGCATTTGACAAAGTGGTGCTGTGCCGTTTCCACATGTATAGTTGTATACTACAAACCTGTAGAAGTACAAACGTAAATTTCCAGCTCTCTACAAGCTTTAGTTCTCGAGAAATATCGAATACATTTTCCCTAGTCATGTGGTCCAAGCTAAAATTCAAATTTCTCGTGAACTAAAGCTTGTAGAGAGCTGGAAATTTACGTTTGTACTTCTACAGGTTTGCAGTATACAACTATACATGTGGAAACGGCACAACACCTCTTTGACAAATGCACGAAAATTTCCGTTTTCTTGATTTCTAACAGAGAAAAAAATACGGCAACGGCGTATAAAGATGCCTTTTGTGGATTGTATTTACGTGAGCAAGTTAGAATTTTTGTAGGATTTTTACGAACTGAGTTACGATTTTTCTCAATTTTTTGGGCGGTTGAACTTTTTTAGTTTTTGGCTCGAAACTCGTGGTGGATCAGAGCTGTTGGTAAAGCAAGATAGCCATCTTGTAGAGCTTGCTTTGCTCTATCGAACAGTACCTTGCAACCTATTCAAAAATGAAAAATATGTGAACTTATTGCGGTTGGAAATCAAAACCTGCATTAATTTCCGGACAACCTAATAGCTAGCTGAACCTTACCCTACATAAGAGCTGCTACTGCCTTCTGAAATGAGAGAATGAAAATTCTCAGAAATTAGGAAAAATTCGATGCCCTTGTAAAACTAGAGGAAAATTTGTAACAAAAGATCCCAAGTCGTTCGTCCATTTAGATTCTCTGAGTTTTAATAACCGATCGAAAAAAAACCAACAAGCTTTTGGGACAACCTAGTTAACCTAGAATTTTACTAAGAGTAGTAGGCCATAGAACCAAAACAGAAATCAAAATTTTGGCCTTTTGGATCTTGAACATCTGCGACCAGAATCCGAAAAAAATGTAAATCTTTGATTTTACTTGATTTTACTACTGCTAGAGAACGCATGTTACCTCACTTATCACAATCTCACCAAATTATAAAATTTAGGACATACAATATTTCGTTTTCTTCGCAATTCATAGCTCTCCCCCAAACGAATGTCAAAAGATTTGCAATGTTTTCAAAAGAAGACGTGCTGAGCTTTGGATAGTAAACCATCTTCTAAAGCCTCATGGAAAAGTCTTGTTGAATTTGCGGATATTTTGATGCAAGACTCACGTTCTGGAGCAACAAATCTTGCAATGGCTTCTTCCACAATTCTGAGAAAAATCAAAATGTTGTAAAATAAAATTTTCTTAGCATCATATAGCAGCAAAATTTCAGGGTTAACAGAAGCGGATTGAGGAAATGTGCGTGACTCAAATTCTCCTGATTAGTTCAATTTGAGAAATGCAGTAAATGATTCTCTCTTGTCATGCAACAAACCAGAGGCCGTATTTATCATTGAACCTGACCGAACTTGAGCGTGCCAATAACTTTAAGCTCACAGACTTCAGTGATTTTTCAGGAGCTTGTGGCTGGCGCGTGGCGCTTTTGCCCGCTTTCGATGCTTTTCGGCGCTTTTGGACACTTCGGAGTTCTTTTCGGCAAATTTGGCCGTCCTTTAGAAAAAGAACTGATTTTATTCAACACATCCTCCCCTGCTTCCAACTGAAATGATGATATTAAAATGAACCCTACTGCAATACAATTTACCTTGAGCTGTACCTCAAGGTACGATTTATCTTAAGGTATAATTTTCATTTTTATCAAAGTCTCTCTCAAGGTTAGATTCACTTGTGCCAAGATGATTGCTGACGTATATTAGGAGCATGGCATGACACACTTGCAGTAAATTGCTTTCCTTATCCGTGATATTTTCACGAGGAACATGTTGGAATATCGGTTTCAGAGTTTGACAGTCAATGATTTTGAGACTGTACAGTCTATATAAGCAACTATTTCGAGCCTAAAGGGGGTTTATCTAACAATTTATCTAACAACAAGAAGTTGATTGCTTCTAGTTAAACAGGATTTTAAATTCGTGATATTGTTTCTACAACAATGGAACCTACCTTTCTGGAAAAAGTTCTTCTTGCACAGTTATCAAGAAGAGTAGTCTTAACAGGCTTCCAAGTTGTCAAAGTAGTTTTTTTATAGTCACTTTAGCTTCGAGCTGAAACCTGCTTTAATTGATGAGATTTTTACCGATAATGTTTTTTCAAGTACTTTGCGATTTATGGTGCGCAAAATTCCACCAAATGTTTTTTGCCTCCTTCTGAGTTCTTTCTAGTTCACACAGGCCCGATTACTCCAAAAGTAGTGAAGATTTGATTTCCAAAGCTTCAAAATCATCATCGTTGAAAGTATGTGCAGACGGTTTCCTAATGGGTCACTTTCGGGGTTTAGAGAATATTTTTTTGCTCAAAGCTATAAATGTTCAAACCCACATGTGTGCGTTGTGAGTAAATGAAGAGTTGAGATAAAATTTTTCTGCTCAACCAGAAACATTTGTCTATTTATTGCATTCAACAGCTGCTCTTCTTTCTGTTCAAGTGCGGAACGGTGTGTATTAAAGATACAAACATTTTGGTGAAATCATCCTTTGAAATCCGATATTACCAGTCAGGAAATGGGATCGAGGGTTACGTTGCATACACGTCACCATTTGGTGATGTCTAATAATTCTGAAGATGTTTTCAAAGTAGCTTCATCAAGCAACTTCGACTTTATGATCAAAGCTCAAGATGCTGTGAAAGAGAATAACTCCTGCGTATGACTACACATCCACGCGTTTGTTAAAATGTATAAAAGTTCTAAGAATATAGACTGAAATTTTGTCTTAAGTTCGCTCAACCCCCATAACTCTCAATAATCTTAACAAAAATTCGCAAAATTGCCACAGTGACCTAATTTACGTTACTGCATTACTCATGCAAAAAACCAGCTTCCGAAAGTCTATAGATCTCTGAAGGTATCCTTCTAACCTTGCCTCCAGCTAGGGTTGAAGTTGCATTGAGAATTTACCTCAAGGTAAATGCAGTCCGTTTGACGAATACGGATTTTAAGTAATCAGTAAATTTTACCTCAAGGTACTTTCCATTCAGTACTAAACACCTTGAGGTAAATTCTCAAGGTAAAATTTGTTTCGAGAATTTACCTCAAGGTACTTTTGTGAATACGGTATTTGCTGATAATGAGTGACAAAACTACCTGGGGATAGAATTTACCTCAAGGTATCAATGATGAATACGGCCACAGAATAAAAAATGATCGAAAATTTCGCTCTTACTTCGATGGTAACGCGTCCACACATTGAGTAATTTTAGGGAAGGAGGGCGAACGAGCTACAAGAAATTTCTTCACATTTTGAAATCGCATTTGTGCCTGATGCCAAATTTTATTACGTAGCCGTTATATGCTTAGCTAGTTTAGTTCTTCTATGCTGGAGAGGAAGATGATGTGAATTTCCATATTTCCTTACCGTAATACGAAAGAGCAGAAGAAACTACGCAATTTGTGGAATATGCACATAAATTATTTATGACTGTTAACAACGTAGTCAAATCAGCTTCGCAAGATAGCTGTTGAAGAATTGAATTGTGAAGTTTCCATTTCCATGGACTCCATTATGGGGGAACGTTCCGCATGCTTTGTCGGAAAGACATCTCGACTATTGAATTCTACATTATCAAAGCTAAAATCTTGATGTGAAAAGGCTTCGCTTGAGCATTATCCCACAAAGTTTGGAAACTAGCTTTCATAAGAGACATGGCAATGAATCTCATCAAAATATAAATAACTATGCAAAGTGTTGTTCGACACTTATCGCTTCACTCTTATCTTGGCTTTCATACACAGCTGACGGGTTCATATGCTGTTATGTATATCTCAAAACGCTGGTTTCAAATCTGTGCTCTATTCCTGCGAAGCATTGATCCAGATAAAGTTATGAGCATTATTTGCTGCGGAACCTGAGCAGCATGAGATAAGCAGAATAATGTTGGTGCAACATGGCGCAATGGTTAGTGAGATAGGCTATGACGCTGCATATGCGGGTCCGAATCCTGCCTAAACAACACTTTTGCATTCGCTACAAAATACGTCTTCTTGAAAAAAAATATTTTGAGCTATAGTTTCGTTGATATGGAACATTTGAAATCATCGTTCTAGGGTCTACGAAACGTCGTCGCAGTCACTTAGCATCAACTCTCTAGTTGATCATAAAATTGAAATTTCAGGTATGAAAGTGGCATTCGCGCTTTTTTGGGTTGCCGTTGTCATTCTGAATCTCATATGCGTGCATTCATACCCGATGACTCCAGCTGACGTGCTTGGTGATCATGAAGATTCAGTGACAAAATCAACGTAAGCGCCCGGCCTACATCAGTTCATTTCGAGATTCATTTATTTCAAAGAGTTGTAGAGCATTACGATTATTCTTTCAGATTCAAAATCAAACCAGTCACCAAAAGTAAAAAGCACTAAGAAAGCGGACAACGAAAGGTTGTGATGGGCAATCCCATTTACATGCAATAAATCTTCTTCACTTGGCTGAGAAATGTGTTCAGATGGGAGATTGATGACTCAACTATCTGCTATAGATCTATCTAAGGATGACTCAGAGTAATTAAGAAAAAAATGGTGCAAATTATCTTAGATGAGGTTGTGCTAAAAATCTCAAAATAAAATGTAAGCACGAAAAAAAAACGAATTTGCAAAAGTCACAAATGGTGTCAAAAAGTTTGAAAACTTGAGATTGGTAACAGCTTAGTACCTTAACAAATTTCATATGCATGAATGTCAAACATGTAGTCAAACGTCAAATTAATAAAATTTTAGAAGTGCTAAGAAAAAACCTGTGGCGAAGAAAAGAAGCAAAAATCATAAAAGTAGCACATCTTAAGTGGAAAAATGCCTGATTTTCGGTCAGAGGAATATATTTGAGAATGAAATCTTTTTTGACCCATCAAGCAAGAAATAATGGTTCTCATGCTGTACCCGAAAGATTGAAACCATATATTTCATTCAATTTGGAATAATCAGAACTGCTATGAAAAATATTCAGAGTAAACTAATTCTTTCGGACACTCCGAATAAACTCAATAATTTGGAATAGAGAAAAATAATTCAAGAAAATAGATACGAAAAACAATGAATTTATATAGAACATGTAAAATATAACAAATGTAACTCAAGAATAACAATAAATAACATGAAATGTACGAAAGATAATTTTGGAGAAATAACGGAAATTATAGAGGTAGCACATTTCAGTGAAGATCTGCTTGATTTCTGTTGGAAAAGGGTATTCTGTAGATAACAATTTGTCTCGAAGGCCTCCAAAATTTTATGAACCTTAAACGTATGAACCCAGAAAAAATACAGTTTCAATTATTGTAAGTAAGAAAGAGCAATAAATCACGTGATACAGGACTATGTAAGAATTGAGAAACTGATAAACTCCACATCCTACCCAAATATTTTTGAATAGTCCCCGAACTTAGATGTACAAGCATCTTGAGTTTCGAAAAAACGTTGTGGGATTCTCAAGGATCGATCTAGATACTACTACTCACAAACGGACGAACATTTCCAATCTGGCGCGTGGCAGACGTTTACGGATGTTCGCCGTCACGCCCGTTCATCCTTTCTATGCGGAGGAAAAAACAAGAAAAAAGAGGAAGCGAAGAGACAATGATTCGCTAACATCAATCTTTGCTGCATGGGTGGGAGTCGTCAGATGTGTATGTATGAAGGATTGGATGTCATGAGCTGATATATCACATTTCCCCCGGCTTCCATTCACGGCTGTGATTCTGTTGCTTTTTTGCTTTATTTCAATCTTGGAGGATGGATAAGTAAATTTTGATAGAAAATTTTTTTAAGCACCTTATATTGAGAGAAAAGAGTGAGCTAGGCACATTTAAATTGTATATTAATCGATGCTGACTAAACTACTGAACTTGTTGATCGTTGGCTTTTATTGGAATGTAAGGTCAGATAAACAATTAGATAATTTCGAAAGAAAATAATTGAAAATCCTGAAAAATTTTGGACATGTAAGAAATGGAAGAAAAAAGTGTAAGATAGTACAACTAACAGAAAAACTCAAACTTATACTTCTAAAATAAATTTGAGCACAACTTTTGATAAAAAATCAATGCAGTACCAATAAGAGGACATAAAAATTCAAAAACAAATTCTGTGCTTCTGAGCCTTTGCTGGAGTTTTTCCGACCCCAATTCGAAGTGGAAAAACATGAGTTAGGAGCAAAACTCTCCAGTCATTTTGCCAAATACATTCGAGAATAGCTGATGTTGAAAAACCGAAGCAGAGAGTGGGAGTTAAAAATTCAGAAAAAAAGAAATTCTCAATTACTGATGACTTTGAGCACTTGGCAGATGTTATATGGACTCACATTCCAAGGTGGAAAACCTTGAGAAATCTCAGAAAATAAAAGTGGCTGGCATCGTGCCAAATCCGAGCAGCTGATTATAAAATAAAAGCAATGGGGGTGGGGGGAAGCACAAGATTGAAGGAAAAAGCTAGCTGTTGGAAGTTTGGAAGTCTCTCAGTGGATTCTGGGGCCACTTCAAACAGCAAAACGTCGATGTAAAAGACCAAAACTTCTGCTGGCATCGAGCCAAAGATCTGCTTCGCTTGACTGGCAATTAGGGGGAATCGCATGGTCGCTATGTTAGCCACGCAGCACACGCGCATAATGAAGGAGCAGTTCTCAAGGGAGCCGGCGAGATTCTGAGCCATCAAGATGAGACCCTGAGAATCGAGCATAAAATACGAAAGTACACACTATTTCGTGAAAAAGCGAAATCGAATTGCATCCGCACTTCAATTTTGCTGTAAAATTTATAAAAAGCGCAAAAATAGGGCCTTTACGAGGTGAGGAACCTAACAGTAAGAAACTTAAAGGGTGTAGGCCGTTTTGCACGACCGTACTAATGTCACGCTCTTTCCATACAGGACCGTCGTCGCGCGCGAGACCTGCGGTGGCTTTCAAGCGTGGCGACATGTTCAGACGAGTCAGCGAATAGTCGTTGAGTTTACTCGTGCGAAACGCCCGTTATCATGCTAGCTTCAAAATTGTGTTGTGCCTCATTTTAGATCAGCCCCGTTCATTTACGAGAAAAAAACGATTACAAGAGATAAAAAAGGTGTGATCCCCCGCTCACCAGGTCTGCACATGTAGTGCAATTGCACATTACGACTGTCCAAACGGGGACGAACCTAACTTGCTACTTCAGATAAAAAAGTGCAAGCCCCATTTTGCAAACATTGCATGCGCGTAATTTTGCGTGTCAAAACTACTAGTACTTCTTACATCACAAATAGCCTTCTGCAAACATTTGATGTCACTGTGGACTTCTACTTCTCTCACAAGCAAAGTGCTCTCATCGTCTGCGTCTCTTCTTTCCGTTGTATTTTGCAATCTGCTACCAGCAATGCAGATCCGCGACAAAGTCATCTATGAATGCTCTGCGCGGCGCTCTCAAATAAATCATTTTATTGATATCTATCATAAGTGACAGCAAAGGACAATAAATTTTTATTCAATTTTTACATAATTTTGCATGTATCGTAATCCTTGACTGATTGGATAAAAGCTTCCCATAACTTTGCATCTTCGATACAAACAGCTCCACCTCCGCGTTTGTATTGAGACATCTTAAAGCAGAGCAACTTTGTTTCTGTAATTGAAAATATGAAGACTCTATCCTTACTTGGCGATTTATGTCTCCGATGCAGACCGCAGGTACATTTGCATTCCTTGACACACCCCACTTTGAATGATCTTTTTTATATTCATACTGTTTATCAAGAATTTTTACAGTATTGACATCGTAAACCTAAATGTTTGTTCTATTAGATGGTGAAAAACCCGAATTTTCCATATATCACCAAATTGTTTACTCGCGCTTTTGGTGCCTGCACAATCACAGCTTTTTCATTTACTTTTTTTGAAGCTTCTTTTCGTCTAATATCAGTCTCATAAATATAGTATGTGTCAACAATGTGCTCTCATTTCCGTAGCAGCTACGCATCCGCAACGCGTGGGCATTGCGTAGCGAAAGCCGATCGATGCGGCAAATTGACCACTCGAGGAGTCGTACGCCCGCAAATGCGGCACGCGCCTCGCGTAGCGAAAGCCGATCGATGCGGCAAATTCACCGCTCTAGAAGTCGTACGCCCACAAACGCGGCACGCGCCTCAACGTTCCGCTTGAGCTAGCCAGGAAGTGAGCACATCGTTGACATGGACTGATATCTTGTGCAATTCGCAGAGTACACAGATTGTGTGTTACACTTTCATTGCACGTGCACAAAAAATATTAATCTCAATTTTCGGACGATTATAAAAAACTTGCTAGTACTTTATCTTATTGACTCACATTTCTCGACGGATCAGAGTGATCACAAGTAGACCCAATATTTTTCGCATTTCCCTTTCTCCATGTTTCCACTGCCATTTGGGTGTTGAGATGTAGAGCAATAAATTCATACCAAAGATCTGAACAATTCATTTGAAAGTGTGCTCCAACTCCCGAGCGAATAAAGCTTACCTTTGCCATATTTCTTATGCTTGGAGAATGCCTTCAACTTCATACCACCTAATGTTTCTATTCCACGGATTGTATTGAAAACAGTTGCCGACTTAGGGAGTGATTTCTTATTAACAACATCAACCAGTGATGGTGCTCTTCAAAGATTAGTCATAAGAATAAATACTTAGGGAAGGTGCGTCTAACAATATCTTATGGTATTCTGGCAAATTGGTGAGGTATGGGTTCACTTGAGCATATCGCATGTATTGGCCAACATCTTCCAGATTGTTCGAGCTGATAGACATGCAAAGGAAGGATTGGCCATAAACAGCACCAGATCCAGGGTAGGAATACTCGCCTGAAAAGCAACAGAGTGAGAGATTTCATAGATCTTGAAAAATTGAGGCTTGTCCTGCGGAAGTTCCGGTGAATTGTCAGCTCATAAGAAATTCGTGGTGGAAATCAGCTTTACTTGCCCATACCGTACTCATTTCGAGTGGACCAATCAGCATTCAGTTTTTAGAATAATATTACCGTTTGTCGACAGTTTACAATCGAATTTCTAGTCCCTAATGTGAGCTGCCACTTAACCAAGGACTTGGATAAGGCTTTTTTTTTATCCTGCATCTTCCCGGTTACTCGGGGTCTGCCACTCTTGTAAGTCTCTTCCACAGTTCGCGGTCTAAGGCTTGCTCTTCTTCGATCTTTAGTTCTTTCAGATTCGCTTTGATCTTATCCGACCACCTCAACTTTGGCCTTCCTCTTGGTCTCTTTCCTGGTACTTCTTCTGCTGTGGCTGATCTGGAGATATGGCTTTCTTCCCTTCTTTGCACGTGACCGTACCACCGAAGTCTTCTCTCCTGCATCTTCTTAGCTATTAGAGCGACCTTCATCGTTGCGCATATGGTATCCTTGGTAACGTGGTCGATCATGGTGACGCCTGCCGTCCATCGTAGCATGCGTGTTTCCATTACACTGACTTTACGTTCGTCGCTTCGTGTACACGGCCAACATTCGCTGCCATATAGAGCTGTCGGGCGGATCACACTACGGTACAACTGGGACTTCAGCTTGCGTGGCATCCGCCTATCGCACATGACTCCTGTGAGGCTCCACTTCGACCAAGCTGCGTTTATCCTGGCAGCTATCTCTTCTTGGATCGTACCATCTGCGCAGATGCGGCTTCCTAGGTACTTGAAGGTAGTAGTCTTCTTGATTGGAGCGTCTTCAATCTGTATGGTTCCTGGCGTTTGAGCTCCAAGCTCCATGTACTCGGTCTTCGCGACATTGATCTTCAGGCCGTGCAGCTCGAGTTCAGATTTCCACTTCTGCACATCCGCCTCCAATTCATTCCTGCTTCTCGCCATCAGAATCACGTCATCTGCGTACATCACGGCCCATGGAGGTTGACGTATGAAGTTTCTGACTATCGTGTCCACAACTGTGATGAAGAGGAGAGGTGACAGCACGGATCCTTGATGAACGCCGGCTTTTATCTGGAAGTCTTCTGATTCTCCTGCTGCTGTTTGTACGTGGCTGGTCGCATCTCTGTAGATCATCTTTATCCACTGCACGTATTCTTCTGGAACCATGTGCTTTCGCAGCGCCCACCATATGATGTTATGCGGTACTTTATCGAACGCTTTCTCCAGGTCGAGGAATGCTGCATGTAACGCACACTGCTTTTCTCGGCTTCTTTCCATCATTATTCTGACGGTATGGATGGCGTCGGTTGTACTGCATCCCTTGACGAATCCGCACTGATTGGATGCCAGCTCCACAATTCTTCGAAGTCGTGTTTCTATTATTCTTTCGAAGATCTTTAGTGTGTGGCTCATGAGTCGGATGGGACGGTAAGTAGTGCAGTCAGCTATGTCTCCTCGATTCTTCCATATCGGTATTGTTGTACTTCTATACCAGTCGCGTGGCATCGTCTTCTATTCTACTATCTGGTTTAGAAGTCGTGCTAGCCATGAGACTCCGGCCTGTCCACACTCCTTCCAGAACTCGTTGGAGACGTCATCTGGAGCCGTCGCCTTGCCGTTCTTGGTCTTCATTATGGCGATGCGGACTTCCTCTTCCGTGATTGCTGGTACCGGTCCATGTACAAGGTCGGCTGCAGTCGTCGTCGACGCGTATTCGTGGCTCGTGGATGCCATCTCTGCGAAGTGTGTTCTCCATCTCTCGTTTATCTCTTGTGGCGTTCTCAGCACTTTTCCCTGCTTGTCTTTGATGTTGTAGAAGTGCTCCATGTCTTTTGTAGCGTTTGTTCTTCTTCTTGCGATCCGATAGATCTCCCGCTCTCCTTCACGAGTATGAAGTCTTCTGTACAGCTCCGCCACATATGCTTCTTTAGCTTCTTTAACTTTCTTCTTTGCTTCACGCTTCGCTGCTAGGTAATTCTGATGATCGTCTTCTAATCTTGTTTTCTGCCACAGCTTGTACGCCAACTTCTTCCTCTTAATCACGGATTGGATGGTCTCGTTCCACCACCAAGTTTCCTTATCTAGTCTTGGCTTTCCTGGTTTCGTACATCCCAGTAGATTCCCTGCCATCAGATGAACGTTGTTCTTCAGCTTCGCCCAGGATCGCTCCGGTTCATCTTCCAGTTTTGGTAGAGCTGACTCCATAGCTGCTTTCGCTTGAGCGTTGTCTTTGAGCTTCCACCACTTTATGCGAATTTGTGCTCCACTGTTGGCTTTCTTCGACTCTTGACTGGGATATTCAGATCCAGAATCAGCGGCCGGTGTTGTGGTACGCATTCTTCACTGGGGATGACTTTGCTGTTCTTTACGTATTTGAGCTCTCTTTGCCGTACAACCCAGAAGTCTATTTGCGATTTCCGCTCTCCGCTGGCATACGTGACGAGATGGTTGTCCTTCTTGATGAAGTATGTGTTTGCCAGACTTGGATAAGGCTTCCCAATCGGTTTTCTCATAAGTACTCAATTTTGTCCAAACACTGTCTTTTTTGAATTTTTGAGAAATCATTTAATTATGGACGGCCAAACACTTCTCAACATGACACCCCTGTTTTCAAAGATATTGATATATGAAAAAAACTACCGTCTAAAATAGATTATCGTCAGAGGGCTGAGCAAAAGAGCAAAAACTAGTATGCTGCCTTCGTTGATGATCAAATTGTTTTTAGGTAATTCTTGGTTTCTTCCTGCCCATTCACTTAGCGTTAAAGGCACAACCCACCCAGATTCTCAGCTTCCATGTTTAATGGTGAGGCCTCCTCATGCCCCTGATTCCGAATATGAAGTCGTGAATCTGCGAAACCTCAGTAATACCCATGAAAACCCGGAGGCCGATTCTTTGGAATGGTGACTGGATGAGCCCGATGGGGGCATTACTGGAGGTGGGCAGCGCCGACTCTTCGCTATTAAGAAGCGATTTTCTCGAGAGCGACATTTGAGCCGCGACGTGGACATCGGATTCATAAGGGGTCTTACTATCGTAAGCTGGCAAAAGTCCATATTATCTTAAAGGCACCGTCCGCTCCAACTTAGAATGCCTTTGAAGTAATATGGACGTTTCGACTATTCGGAATCAAAATAAACCCTTTAGCCCCTCCTAATCAGTAATCTGATATTGTTGAGTAGTCGGCAATTAATACTCACCGCTAGATGGTGGGAAATTCGGCACACTATGTACCATCCAAAATCCAACATCATGATCGAAGACGGCGACACCTTTACTGTGAGCTCGACCGCTTTCCACAGGTCCATCTGGGCTATCGTCATTGTAAGCAATGGCGAATGTTTCCTTCTAAAAAGCGATTTGGCTCATTTCAGGCAAATCAACAATGAATCAGGCATATAAGTGAGGTCTCGACTGAATAGTATCATGTGCTTCAGTAGTGACCGAGAAAGCCGATTTTAACTTCTCGTTCAGACCGTATTCCGGGGCCGGCAAGGCCCTCGAATGCGATACTGGGCGAGAGTTTGGAATTGAACTTGTTGAATAGAATGAATCACACTAGCTGCCGTTTGGAGAATGGTTTCTTTATCAGTTTGTTACTGTTCAGGTACCCAGACTTGTTTGGTATAATTGAGAAAAGACCTTGTCAATCTTATAAAGTTGACTAAGTGTGGCTCCAATTGCAGACTTATTACTGCTGATGAGTAATTTGCTCTGTGTCCATCCGCCTATTCGTGGATCAAAATAGACGAAGCTCCGTCCTTTTGCAGTGTCGACATCTGACGGTAGCTTGATAACGGCGAACCTGCAAATGTTGTAATTCAAGAAAAAAATCCAGAGAAAAATTGCAGAATTTTTTGAGTAGTTGATTACTGACCAATCTACGTCATTTCCTTCCATGTCCTTGCAACCTAATTTTGCACTTACGTAAACGCTGGCCATACAGAGATGCAGCAAAATTTGTATTCGTGTCATTTTTCAGGAATGGATGGCAAGGAAAATCTGAACAAGGCATGGCTAAAAATGAAGTGGAAGTGTCTTCTATAAATTTGCATATGATCATTTATGCTAGTTTTCAAGATGTGTATAACGGGGGCATCTTGAAGCATCTATTCAAAATAACATCGTTTACAAAAGTTTTGTTCATCAAAGTTATCAGAATCATCTATTTTATTGGATTCAGCGAAGAAGAATGTGAAGAATGTGCAGTTAGCCTAACAAGCGATTACACCACGTGCAAGAAGATTAACCATCATCGGTAATAATTCTGCTTTATATCAGCTTAGCCCCTTGAATACTTGATTGTTTGACGTCGAAGAAACTGTCATATCAAAGTATTTTGCAATTGTCAGACTTAGTGTTGCCAATGCAAGAAAAAATGGAAAGAATTCGAAGTGAATAAATCACATTTCAGCTAAAATTCCGCATATGTCGCGAAAGTTCCGAAAATTTTCCTATTATGAAATCTAACCAATTTCATGACTTGGCATTATGTCTTCAGATTTACATTTTTCCAAACTGGTTTTAGCTTAACATACATTTTAACAAGTCTGCTGGACCCTTGAGAATAACGTATATTCTTCTATGATTTGTCTAAGGAGTTTTCGTGAAAACCATTCCAGGTTCTTGTCATCCATTTCTGTTGTTCAGCAAAGGCGCGCGTATCTTCTGAAATGAAAACTATTTTATGTTTCGTAAATAGCATGTACGACTCTCGATAAATCTCGGCATAGTTTATAATAATAATATAAATTGTAACAATCTCGGCGTTGGCCACAAGACATCAATCTCAACTTATTTTATGTTTGACCTCATTTGACTTACCTTGTAACTCTTTCGCGGCATTGCTTACACCACATAAATACATGGTCAAATGTCCAATAAAAGCTCTTTTTTCATTCTATAATCATACTTGACATGCTTCGCTTGCTTAGAAGTTTAGTGTCAAACTTTCAAGTTTAGAAAAAAAATAATCTTCTTACAGCTCTTATAGGATCAAAGTATTGTTTTTGCAAGAGTAGGAATTCTTTGACGTCATGATGAACAGCAATGAGAACGTTACCTCAGCGGCAAAGTTCGGGAAGACTATCGACTTCCATTTTATCGTTTAATCCCCGTCTCTTCGTGGCGTTGGTTCCAACTATGGAACTTAAAGGATGTTTCAGGCGGGAGAGTGCTTTTGTAGTCATTTTCAAAAAACCGCAGAACGGGTACCCACATTAACCCCCTCGAAAGCAGGCATGAGTAAAGGCTGCTGCATGACGAAAGCGCGGAAGGTATCTACACATTAACGACAAGCCGATTTTTCGATTACTGCCGTTTCGGACCAAAGCCTTTTTCGCTTCGTCAAACTTACGACCCACCCGTGGGTCGTATTGTCCGAAATGGTGGTCTTTTTGGAAGAAATTCAAAACATGTCTCCGAGAATATCCCCACAAGGGTTATCGAAGGCGCTGATTACCAAAATATGATTTACTTCAGTTTTTGGCAGTATACGGTAAGGTTACGGTAGTCATTCTGTACGAAGCCAATATCATGGATTTTCTTGAAGAACTCTGTTTTGGGGTCATTTCACGTGCTAATCACGATTATAGTGTCCACTTCGTTCACTACTTTTCCGCGGTGGGACCACCTCAGACAATCGCCGGGGGCAGGCAGGCACCGGAAAAATAGATGGCTGATTCGCAGCACGCTCGCGAATTTTTTGAAAAGCAATAGAACTTTTTGGAACGCCGCTTGCTAAGTTCTCGATTCCTCAGAGATCCAGCAATAAATTTGCAAATGATAAGAGCGAAAAAAGATTCAACAGGCGGTCTCTTAAAAACTCGCTGACCATTAACCTGGAATTTGCGAGCGGAATGCGAAAAGTCAACAACGCGTATTTTGCGGCCTCCGGCGATTGCCTGAGACGGTAGCAGTACGGTGGAATGACCGTAAGGATCAATAAACTGATGTAAAAAGGCGGTATTAGTACTTGAGACTATCATTTTCTTAATCAGCATGCTAAAAAACCTATACATGTTTGGTTTGGCAAGGTTTGAGCTTCCTGAGATGAATAATGCGAAAAATCAATAAAATCAATAAAGTCGATAATTTTTGATGGGCTGACATCAGTCTCGTGCCCCCTCCCCTTGTTTACTTGTGCATGTAAACTTGAATTTTCAAAAACAGCACCACTCTGTAAAAAATTTGAGCTAAAGTTTGTGCCTTACCTCTATCTACGGTATAGTTACCGTAACATTACTCTACAGTATCCCAAACCCGGACCACTCTGGCTGGAGATTCGCCAGGGTGTAGGCCCTTCTGAACCCGCGCTAATCGCGATGGCTGCGATAGGTCAGCGCGTCTCAGAGGTCACGTCTCAATTCGCTGCTTCGATAAGGCGAGCGGTTGACCTGAGCAGGTGCGCTGCGGAAATGGACGAGTTCCTCAGTAATGATCCCTCTCCCTCGGACCCTTGACAGAGATGTCGTAGACGCATAATGTCAACCGAATGCTGCTATTCTGTTGTCTTACCTAACAAACTCGCTGCTATCCACTAAACTGACGTGCTTCCAATCAAATCTGTGGGATGTGTTTGCTTCGACTACTGAAGTACTCTATTTTTGGTTGAGTAAGGTGAGTGCTGGTAACTCTTTTTGCTCCATGTGAGCAATCCTTGCATCGCGTATCGTCACATTCATTAGTGCATCGTCGAGTCATTTGTAACTCAATATGCGTAGTGCACACTATACACGCTAACTGACAAACTGCGAGACTAGAACCTGCTCATTTCCGTGATCTCTCCTTGTGTCCTTGTTTCTTTTGTTGTAGTTGGTTTATTTATTAGTCAGTAGAACACATCTCTACATTCTGTTAGGCTTGAAAATGTTATCCTGGGAAGTTACTTGTATGGGTACCGTCGCTAATAGAGCTCAGTGTGCAATCTCACATATTAAGTTACAAATGACTAGAGGTTATGTGAGCTAAACGAAGCCTGCAGGGAAAACACACTTTTTGGTTTGATTATTGCTGATAACCCGAGACCCAAAATTGTTGTATGCAGTTCGTCGCCAACAGTTTGATTTTGCGCTCATTATAGCTGCTGCATAATTATAATCATGTAAACCATACAAATCTTATCAGTTTTGAACTCAGTTCTAAGCAACGAAAGTAGCGGATATCACTGTTTCGTGATTGTAGAGAGCTGAGAAGTTCTAGAATCTAAATCAGAAATTTGATCTACAAGCTGTGGCCTATGAACATTTAATATTCCATGCACAACACCAAGCGAGAAAGGAGCGGCGTTTGCGTAAAAAACTAGATGCTACCAAACAAACGCCTTGGTATTGAGCGAAAGTCGTCTAGAGCAAAAATTATAAACTATTAGGTATCGTGCAGAGTTCAAAGAACCATCTGTTGTACTTTGAATTGTGGGTCGGGTAGCATGTGCTTTCCTCTCGACGCATCATGCAGTTCACAACGTTCAAACGTGTAACAATGCATGAAGCAGAAAGGATGCACGTAAACAAAATGTGGCAGTAAAAGTAATCAAAATGATGAGAACCCATTCATATTATCATTCAAGAAATTCAGAACAAGTTTCTTAAAACAAACGTGATTGATGAGTTCAGGATAAAGTTAGGCCGTAGAATAGCAAAATGGAGCGAATAGCAGCGTTACAGAAATGGAACCGGATTAGGTGGGGGTTACTACTGCGTTCAGATCTGAATGCTGGAAAGGGAAACCTGAGGTGCGCAGAGGACTTTCGAAAATAAAGCGTTTCGCAGAAGACTCGTCCGCAATGGCCACAGCGCAGGCGCCCGCGTTTTGCTTGCGGGGTTACTGTAGTAGACGGTGGGTTTAGAAGGGCCGTCTCCCGATCTCCAAGGTGTCCCAATCATGTGCCAGAACCCCGTAGAATTCCATCGTATACTGGCAAAGCTAGAGCTCCAGGAGTCTTACGACCCACCGGTGGGTCGTATTGTCGTGAATGTGTTGAATGAGCGGGCGCGAAGCGCGCGCGCACATTCACTGTTGTGAATCCGCCTCATGCTCTCTGCGGCTAATGAAACCGCGCCCAAAGATATTGCGCCTTCGCCATGCGGCGGCCTATAAGTTAAACAGAATGCAATCGGTTGCTTTGAGATGAAAACGCCCCAAGAGCGAAAAGGATATCGTTCACAAGGGCACTTTCGCAAGCAAGCTCTATAATCATTTTCGCAAGCTTAATTAGCGATTGAAGCTCCGCTTTTCCCACTCTTGTGGTGGGAAAGTGATAAGAGAGCATGCTCGCAAAAGTGCACTGTCGGGGCCCCTGCACTGTCGGTCCTTCTTTGCGTGTCGACGGTCGATATACAGATCCAAAACTCGGTCGATGCTGTGGTGTGCAAGAATCTTTTCAGGGTTTGACTTTGCTGGTCGCTACATCTCAATATTTCAGCCATACAGTTCATATATCGCTGATCGGGATGCGATTGAGCAATGTGCATGGAAGATGCGGAATGCAACATCTCAGATAATCGCCGGGGTAGGCGGTCTGCAAACTCGCGCTTTTCTGCAAGGGGTCAACAGAATTTTGGGGCGTGACCAAATCTTCAGGGCGGCCCTTCCTTTACGGTCGCATATTCTGCCAGCGTGCAGCAATACAGCATTTTCTGCAAGCGATCGGCAAATAATTTCTTTCAGCGAGCGCTGGCTAAACTTTCAGCAAGCCCTCGGCCTCTTTTTATGCAGTTTCGGGCATACGCCGAGCACAGGTAAGACTCTGTGTGGCAGAGGTGCCACCGTTGGTTTAAATACTCAAGTTAGAGGTACTTTCTTTCAGCGGAAAGTACCTGGGGACTGCGCGGTCCTCCACAAAGGAACGTGCGGCCCCCGGATATATTGCATATTCTCGCGGAAAGTCCGCGAGAATGCGGCCACTGCGCCGCAGCTAATCTATGAGGAAACCGCGATTGTTCTCCAAGCATTCATCTAAAATTTCGCTAATTATTCCAAATATCTGCAAGATGACCGCAAGAAATCAGCGAAC